TTTGTTTTGAAGACAAAGGATGGTCACATCAAATATTGATTTGATTTGGATTTCTCTTCTGTTCTTTTACTTTCCATTTTGTGAATTGATGAAAATAAATTATTAACAACTCTATTTCTGAAAGTGTTCTTAATTTACAGCATTTTTGCACACCTGCTTAATGCTTTTGCACAAACTGCACAACTGCTTAACACTTTAAAACCTTTTACATACAATACAATACAGAGTGTTATACATAATATAAAGTACAGACTAAGTACTCCTTAGCATCAGGTTCCATCTCAAAACATGGAGATGAAAATAGGAAGATTTCCTTGACTATGCAAGTGTATATCAATAATTTGAAAAGAGGCACCAAAACCAGAATGTGTTCTACTAAATTCATAGCAGCCAGAACTTTCCTGAAATCATCAGGAGTTTAAAGGTACGTCAAGAAAAACATGGAAACAAGAGAAAATAAAACAAATGCAGACTTTCAAATTCTATTTAAGAAAAAATATTTCAATTTTTTTTTAGTGGCAGCAGAAAATCATCATAGCATTACATTTTCCTCCCATTTCATGGATAGATTGAATGAAAATATGGTTCAGGGGAAAAAAACCTACTCCTCTTCAAATATATACAATAATGTTGACATTCTTTATGACTGTTTAGCAGGGAAAGCAGTTTATTATTGAAATCACAGATTTCATACAAACCTTTAGACTGGCATTTTCTCATTGAATAGATGTACAGGTGCAGACTGGTCTAAACATGAGATATCTACTTTCAGGCACTTCATATTTTTTTTTTTGTTCTTAATGATTTGTGGTGTTCTAGTGTGAATCCGATTTCCTTTTATATTTCTCCTTCCTGTTCTGGAAAATGTATGTCCGTTTACAGCATATATCACCACATCTCATTTTATAAACAACTAGGGACTGAATTCTTCAGAGAAAGATAAATTGAAGGCAATTTCAGAGTTGTGTGATTTCACAACTGAGAGGGTTTGTTTTGCCTTAGGCTGAGATTTTGGCAAATGCTGCATGAGTTCTGTTCCTTAGCTAGCTTTTTGCTTCAAGAGAAATCCTCCTGCATTAATTTGATACAAAACAACTTGTTTTAGAGAACCTTTCGAATGAAAGGCTATTTTCAGAAAATTGTTAAATGTGAACAGTGGTGTATTTGAGTTATGAGATACATATATAAAGTTGTGGTGGCGCTTTGGTTAGAATGCAATATGGCAGGCTAACTCTGCTAATTGCCAGCAGTTTAATCCCGACCAGCTCAAGGTTGACTCAGCCTTCCATCCTGCTATCCTTTCATTTGTCTATAGACTTGGTCTATAGGTTCCTTGGCTTGCCAAGCTACCTTCTGATATTTTTTTTTCCTGATCCTTCCCTTGGAGATTTTCAGTAAGCACTGCAGTAATAGCTAAATGTAAGTCCATCACTTGAGAAACTGTTGAAGAATTCATCCTTCTCATGAAGAACTTTAGATAAAATATTCACCCAATTTGTATCCCACAAATGTTGTAGACTAGAGAATTAAGAACAATTGTTATTGTTATTATTTATGTATTTAAATTTATTGCTGCTGTCCACTCCAATATACTCTGGATGGCTTACAAATATGAAAAGGCCATTTGTACCCTATTTTAATGCAGTTTTGATAAAAATCTCGTAAAGCAAGCTGTATTTATTTATTTATTTACTTACTTACTTACTTACTTACTATCTTTCCTAGATTTCTGTTTTATTTTAGTTTAGTTTAGTTTAGCCTCAGAATAAGATGATAACCTCACAAAGAAGTTATTATTCTCATACTGTCAAATTATAATATCCCTAAATCTAATTTTATGCAACTCTTTTTCTTTTTAGAAAAAGCAGAATACCATAATGTCAGAGTAGAAATAGAATCTATGGAATAAGAATATCTTTCTACACTAGAAGCTTGATTGTCCTTTGGGAGGTAAAACCTTTTCTCCAATTTTCACCAGTTCTGCAGAAATGAATGAAAGCTGTCTTTCTTTCACTGGCTTGAAAACATTTTTCCATGCAATCTGGTGCTAATAAATCAAAATCCCTAATTATGTGGAGCAATTTAAATGTAAGCACAATCTGACAACTTTCTGAAAGGCCCAGTAATTAATGGGATGATTCTTAGACCTAAACAACCAAAAGATAGGAGAGAAATTCATTAATAGTTTAGCTTATAAATAAGTAGCACAGGCTGCAAAAAGCTTGCCAGCAATATACATGTTCAAGATTTCCTCCTAATTTACTGATAAATAAGTGCTAGACATTTCTATCACAGTTTCCTTGAGTCTGGGCCCTAAATCTTTGCATTAAAACATGTTATTGAAATTAGTGTAATTTTTGGTTCCTCAATTGTTACCTGCTGTGAAAGGTTTTCCACATAATTCCTCTTCAGAACTCCCAGCTGAGTCAAGAAGAAAAAAATGGCGGGTAGGTTTGTACCTGTTCTCTGCAGATTTGGAGCATTGAAAGGTTCCTCTGATACCTGAGTCTCTTCTACATTTAACTATTTTATTTTATTTATTATTTATTTTATTTTATTTTATTTTACTTTTTTACTTTAATTTACTTTTTATTTTATTTTCTTGCCTTTATTATTTTACAAATAACTCAAAGTAGCAAATACATTCAATGCACCCTACTGGTCCTCATTTCCTCACAACAATAACCTGTGAGGTGGCTTGGGCTGAGACAGTGATTGGCCCAAATTATCTAAAATAGGAATAAAGATTAAGAGACTTTGCTTCTTTGACTTCTTTCCCCCCCCCTACAATACTACATTTTATTATAAGGAAATGCATTTAATTATCTGTATTCTCTGTCATGGCCTCCCTCTCTAACAGCATTCCACTAGAAAAATGATGCCCTCTCATTAAAAGGGTTCCCAGATCCCTTTAGATCTGGCTTTCATCCCAGACCTGATATCTGAGATTAGCTGTCATGCTTTGTTTTAAGGGCTGTTTTTTAGCCTGGGCTATTTTGTTTTGTTTTAATTATTTTAATATAGTGTTATATTTTGTAACCACATACAGACTCTATTAAATTCAATAGACCCTTAGAAAGGATTCAATAGGTGGACAAAAATGTGAAATCCAGTTTAAATATCTGGCTGTGTAACCAACAATAATAAGTCTAATTGTCGAGGCAGAAATGTACACACTATAGTTTCAGGATAGGATACCATCCTCAAACCGTGGGCAAAGCCCCAATGTTTAATGTCATGGGGAAAGAAACTATGTGTTTAATGTATGCCATGAATTAAAATTCTATTAAAATGATCGTTGTCATGCTTAAATCTGGAAGGCTAATTGTATATGCCGATGCATTCCTGCTTTAGGATGATTGATGGCCACCATCTCAGGAATTAGATGACAGAAAGCTATTAGAAAACAGAGAGTATGTGTCACAGGTCCAACCTGGGACAGGTATCGTTCCCACTAAATTTGGCCCTAAAAGAATACTCTGCCTTAAAAGAATAAGTCTGAAAAATAAATATTGTTTCAGCATATGAATGGGGGCCAGTGGAGGAAGAGAATTATTGTAAACAGAAATTTTAGGGCCACCTTACCTTTACACAATTTTTTCCCATATATAACATTGTGGGTAATGGTTCTCGGCATACAGTACTTTGGACTACAATAGTACAGCTCATTGTTTTAGTTACACAGTTAAACCACATTAATAGATTTGGGCTATTATAAATTATACTGTACTGAAGTTTTATCCAAAAGACAGGTATATAAAAAAATAAAAAGAGCAATCTTAAGATTTCCCTAGCTGTTCTGAATTCCTGTGCTGATACATATAGATCTAATTTCTGAGCAGGAAACCGGTTCTAAAATAAAATATTTTTCATTAAAATAGGATTATAGAAAGGATAAAATTGAACAGTTAATGCTAAAAATACTTTAAGAGCTTTGTGCTATGATTTCATGGTGGCTTTTGAATGATATATAAGGTTAGATATGACACTCTATACTGCTTTATATGATCCATCTGGCAATCATTTGTCCTGAAAATACCCATTCCCCTCTCCTTATAGAGAGACATAAAAAGAAATAATAAAACTAAAATTGATAAGGAGGTGGCTGCTGTTAATTAGCTCACATGTCTGTTACGTATACTTCCTAGTCATTCACTGAAAAGGAGCTTAGCTCTATGAATAATATAAAATATTTTTTAAAGCCATAAAAATATAAATAGAATCCTCCTTTAGTATATTTGCACAGTTTTTAAGCTTCAGGAACTTGAAATTTTCAATAAGTCATCTATTTCAAAGCCTGAATACCTCATTTTATTTATTTATTTATTTATCCCACCTTTCAGATGGTGAATATGCCTAATATTCCTTCTTCCTCCTATTTTCCCCACAACAACAGACCTGATTGCTCATTTGGGATGAGAGAGAATGACTGGCCCAAGGTCACCCAGTTGGCTTTAATGACTAAATGAAACTAGAACTCACAGTCTCCTGGTTTTCCACGTTCTCTGTGTTTGGATCTTAAAAGGGCTACAATTTTAACCAGACCACTAAGTTTCTGTGTCACAGGCTACAGAAATTCAACTTTTCCAATCTTATAAATCTCAGCTGTCCTGCAAATATATTGAATTTCAATCCCAATTTATCAATGACCATGACAGCAGAACATTTTGGGATTACAGTCAAATATATGTAGAAGACAACAAAGGCTGGGGTTATTTGTCATTCAGAAGCATTGGTGTTATTAGTTCATTTGCCTCTTAAAAGTTGGCATCTTAACTGAACAAAACCACCCTGATCTTGAAGCTCATATCTCTGATTCTCCCCAACCAGGCCATATTGTTGAACTGGATTGGGAACAATTTAAACCCTAACTTGATAGCCTGTTAACAACAAAGTGCACATTTCAAGAGACAGAGAATAAAACCTGGCTAGAATGCAGTACAGTCCTAAACAAACCAAGCAAGATGTATTGGAAAATTAAAATTTCACAGAACACTTACCTGTTTTGTTTTAGAATTCAGCTAAGCTATTCACTGATGAATTGCATACAATGTGTGTGCTTCTGTAAATATAGCTGAAAGAAAAATTACACCTTTGATTTTCAAAATCAAGACTGAACCATTTTTGAAATAGTAGTGTTGAATTTTGTCTCATAATTTGACATCTCATTGGCATTGCCTGATATTGTTATACTTTAGGTCATTTTTGCCCTGGATAGCTGCCATGTGTAAGATTGTTGTATTGTATATCAGCTTTGATAATAGTCATGATTCTTAAATTCATTACACTCTGTGCTTTTCCTAAAGTTTCCCTGTCACAAGCAGATACTTTTCTTGACATTCATTTTCAATTCTGCATAAAAGAACAAGTCGTCCAACAAAATTTTCTTTGAGAATGAACAACTGCTGATAGTAAAGGAGATAGAAAAATAATTGAAGAATATGTCCACAGCAGTCTAGCCTGCCCAAAATAAAATCAAGTCTGAATACTTTGTTAACTAATATTTTCAGATGAATGCAATTTTTTATGAGTAAGCTTGTTAGCTAACTAGAAAATTTCAAATAAAATCTTCGTAGATGATTCAGTGAAACTTATTACAAATTTGAAGGAGTTATTGGGAATGCATCCTGTCAAATATAGGAGGTTTTATTTATAAACAGATATTCATAGGCCCACTTTTTGTAGGTACTACAAATATAAAATCTGTGACTTTCAAATTACTGAATTAGAATTACAAGCCAATCCTAACAAAGTTGTAAACTGTATGTAGAGGAATAAGGATAGTCCTTGATTTACGAGCACAACTGAGGCCAACATTTTTATTGCTAAGCAAGACATTTTTAAGTGAATTTTGCCCCATTTTACAATCTTTCTAGCCACAGTTGTTAAAGGAATCACTGCAGTTGTTAACTTAGTAACACGGTTGTTAAGTGAATCTGACTTCCCTATCGACTTTGCTTGTCAGAAGATCGTAAAAGGTGATCACATGACCCTGAGACACTGCAACCGTCATAAATGCATGCCAGTTGCCAAGCATCCAAATTTTGATCATATGACCATGGGGATGCTACAACGGTTGTGTGAAAAATGGTCATTAAGTTACTTTTTTCAGTGTCATTGTAACTTCAAACTGTGCTAAATAAATGGCTGTAAGTCGATATACTTGTATATAGATAAAGTGGAAGAAGTGATGCTAGATCCGTTAAAGCTAGAGAAGAAAAAAAATCAATTCTGAAAGGAGAAGAGATGAAAAAAGAAACTCAAAATAACCCTACCTTAGTCTGTTTGGTATAAAACAGAACAAGGGATATTCTGGCAGGCTTTCAATATTCTGTGAGTATACCCATATAGCAGTAAAATAGTCTTTCTGCTCTGTCTGTTTCTGACAAAATGGTTCAGTAACTTCTGGATGGTCACAGATTTTCCTTTTGCTGTGCTAAAAACTTTAATCAATCTTTCAATAGAAAGCAAAGGATAGAATTGACCCATAAGATCATTCGAATGTAATAGCCAAAGTTAACTGGCTTGACTATTGAACTTCATGTAATTGGAAGAAAAAAAATAATGCAAAAGTTTTTATTCTTTCTTTTCCATTCTGGTTTCCAAAAGACTGTGGTGGGTATAGAAGAGGAGATCATGCTGCGAAGCAATGTGTTTCTCTTATATAAATGCTATAGAAGGATTGCTGAGTATATAAAGTGGAAAGCTGGAGGTCTCAAACCTCAGTTTCCAGAAGCCTTCTGGATCTGTTCCCAACTCTTGCTTTGGGCTAGCGACTGAGTAATTCTCGCTGACATCTAAGTTCCAGGTGCATCTCATTTGGAAACTTCCTTTTCTCACTTTGGTGCCTGAAAAAGATAGAGTCCCCTGTTGCCTTTCTGATAATTAAAATTAAATAACTGAGATAATTACAATAATGGCATCTCCCGCCTGAATAGGCCAAAATTGTGGACTAAAGGTTTCACCTATGTTCACTCCTTAGAGATAGATCAATCTCACCAGATAGTCAACAAAGTCAAAATTAGAAAAAAGAAAAGAAAGAAAAGAAAAGATAAACCATATAAACATCTTTTTAAATGTGAAATATCCAAAAGCAAATAGAAATCAAGTTAAGATAGGCAGGAAAATGGCAAGTGAACACAAATGGTAAGTCTAGCCTAGATGAGTTCAAATCACCAGGACCAGATGGATTACACCCCAAGTTTCTTAAGGACCTGGCAGATGCGATCTCAGAACCACTGAACTATATTTTTCAAAGATCCTGGAGCACTAGGGAACTATCAGAGGACTGGAAAAGAGCTGATATAGTTCCCATCTTCAAAAAAGGGGAAAAAAAGGACCCAGGAAATTACAGACCTATCAGCCTGACCTCAATACCTGGGAAGATTCTGGAAAAGATAATCAAACAACGAATCAGCGAACACCTAGAGGCAAAGTCATTACTAAAAGCCAACATGGGTTTGTCAAAAACAGATAATGCCAGACAAATCTTATTGCATTCTTTGACCAAGTGACAAAATTAGTGGACCAGAGGAATACTGTGGATATAATTTACTTGGACTTCAGTAAGGCATTTGACAAAGTAGACCACAATCTACTCCTACTTGAGAAGATAGAAAAATGTGGGTTAGACAGCATCACCACCAGATGGATCCATAGCTGGCTGACCAGCTGTACTCAGCGTGTGGTCTTCAATGGAACCATATCTACATGGAGGTAAGTGTGTAGTTGGGGTGCCCCAGGGCTCTTCAACATCTTCATCAATGATCTGGACAAGGGGATAGATGGGGAACTCATCAAATTTGCAGACAACACCAAGCTGGCAGGAATAGCCAACACTCCAGAAGACAGGCTTAGGATACAGGAGGATCTGGACAGACTTGAACACTGGGCGCTATCTAACAAAATGAAATTCAATGGTGAAAAAAGTAAGGCTCTACATTTAGGCAAGAAAAACCAAATGTACAGGTATAGTATAGGGCAGGGATAGGCAACCTTGGCTCTTTTATGACTCATGGACTTCAACTCCCAGAATTCCTGAGCCAGCCATGCTGAGGAGAAAGGGAGAGGTTTCCAAGCTGAGCCATGCTGGCTCAGGAATTCTGGGAGTTGAAGTCCACGAGTCATAAAAGAGCCAAGGTTGCCTACCGCTGGTATAGGGGGTACCTTGCTCAATAGTAGTAACTGTGAGAAGGATCTCGGAGTCCTAGTGGACAATCATTTAAATATGAGCCAGCAGTGTGCTGCAACTGCCAAAAAAGCCAACACAGTGCTAGGCTACATTAACAGAGGGATAGAATCAAGATCACGTGAAGTATTAATACCACTTTACAATGCCTTGGAATACTGCATCCAGTTTTGGTCACCACGATGTAAAAAAGATGTTGAGACTCTAGAAAGAGTACAGAGAAGAGCAACAAAGATGATTAGGGGACTGGAGGCTAAAACATATAAGGAACGATTGCTGGAATTGGGTATGTCTAATTTAACGAAGAGAAAGACGAGGGGGGACATGATAGCAGTGTTACAATATCTCAGGGGCTGCCATAAAGAAGAGGGAATCAAGCTATTTTCCAAAGTGCCTGAAGGCAGGACAAGAAGCAACGGGTGGAAACTAACCAAAACAACCTAGAACTAAGGAAAAATTTCCTGACAGTTAGAACAATTAACCAGTGGAACAACCTTCTTCCAGAAGCAGTGAATGCGCCAACACTGGAAATTTTTAAGAAGAAACTGGACAGCCATTTGTCCAAAATGGTATAAGGTTTCCTTCCTGCGCATGGGATTGGACTAGATGACCTCCAAGGTCCCTTCCAACTTTATCGTTATTATTAAAGGCAAAATAAAATGCAATACTGAAAGTACAGCAAATCACATGTTTTTTGGCTGCTACCAACAGACCTGGCCATAAACAGAAACAAGGTAGAAAGTTTCAAATTAATGTTATAGATTAGCAGATTTCTGTGATGATAAAAATTTTCTTGAAAAAAATCTAAAATAGGGAGCTGAAATTTAAGCATTCACTTCTTCAACTTATGCAATAACTCAACCACATACACAGAAATATAAATCAAGAGCCTTTTTTACTGAAATAGCATTTTTCAAAGCAGTTCTTCTACTTCGTTTACCTGGAACTTTTCCAAGCTCCTGTTTAATTAGAAGCTATTTAGGAGATAGTCACATTTTTGTTCAGGTATCCCTTTGGGCTTCTTTCCAGTTCATGTGTCTTTTGTTCTTACCAAACTAAATGTATGCATGTATGTATGTAAGTACCAGTATGTATGTATGTATGTATGTATGTATGTATGTATGTATGTGTATTTATTTGTTTGTTTGTTTATTCATTCAATTTCTATAGCTGCCATGTTATTCAATATTTTCTATCTATAGCATGGGAATCTAATTCGGTATGTGACCAAGATCTATATCTTACTTGCTAAAGCAGACTGTCCTGGCGTGAGGCTGGCCTGTTCTGAATATCAAAATCGGGAGGGAGGCATTAATTATAATGGAACAATGAAACACCCTATGTTTAAAAATATTCCATAAATCCACCATTAATGCAAACTGACATCTCTTATGTCATATAGACCCTTCTGATTAAGGGCTGGTAGATCATTGTAACAATGTTCTGTTTCAATTGGCAACACAGAAATCTTACACCATTTTTTTCTTTTTTGAATGTATATATTTAGGGGAGAAAACCCCCACAGTTGTAACTGAACTTTCATACATTTCATCTCACCTTTCCTTATAAAAAAAATAAAAAGGCATAAAACATACCTAATGGAAGGGAAGCTATTTAAAAAATTGTGCATAACAGTGGATATATATGCATAAAAATATAAAAATGCATATGAATATATACACATGTTTTTGTCAATTTCACAAGGTGATAAGGAAATTGGTCTAAATAAATCAAGGAAAATTAGAAACAGCCATCCTAAAATACTATACAATGTGCTAAGCATTTTATAGTCTGATGCAAATAATTATCCAGATTTTTTTTTCAATATCAATTGATTTTCTCTCCTCTACTTTTCTTTTCCTTTTAGTAATCTCAGAAAACAGCAC